CTGATCCGTTTTGGGGTTTCAGACTGGACTGTGAACAACAGCTTCCAGAAAACGCCATCTCTGGTAGGTGCATACACCGTCGAGCCGAATGAATTTAATTTGGAGTAGGGTTATGTGCCCGTTGCAAGTCAATGCCTAAAGTTTAAAAATAACTGGACAAGTAGCGACCGACGCCAACCAGAGCCAGCCATAACATCAAACGATGTTCAGGGGCGGAGTAAGTGTACTTATTGGAGCGCACTGTCACTCGTATGCAGGGAACAAAGGTTCATCAGCTGTCCACTTAACGTTGTTTCGGCTAAAAACAATGTTATCACGGATACATATCGTGCTCCGCACCCCGGTTGGCTATCTGCAGCTCAACACACTTGCCACTTTGACGTTAAACATAGCAACGCAAACCAAACATCTCAATAAAGAACATACTTGACCAGACATTCGTGATGACTATGCAGACAGATAGGGAACGAACATTCCGGCCCCGCGCACAGGTACGGACCGAACACGGCCGACCCTGCACACAAGTACGCACCGAGATCGGCACAATGGTAGATAATATAGATAGTCACGGCCCCAGCACAGCGGCTTTGCATACGGGCACGAGCCGAACACTGCGGTATGTCGATATAATGCCCGTCATGAGCATGCGAGCTACGTGGACAGGAACGGAACGAGCACGGCTGGCCCGCAAACAAACACAGACCGAGCAAGGCGGGTTGTACTGCAACAGACAATAGGGTCCCCACGCCCGCCAATCACGCGCATCGCCAGCGACGGCACGGGCACTGGGTGGGAGGCCATACAAATCGAATTGCACGGTAATGGCCTGCCGCTTAAGATTACCACGCACATGTTTATGCTCGTCGTTAAAGTCTATCTAAGCCCGAATTCGAAAACCAGCTCGTCGTCCATCCCACCACAGGAGCGTTCCCCATCCCTCCACAGGAGTGCCCGTCCCATCCCACCAGCGGAGCGTCCGCCCCCGTCCCATCACAGGAGCGACCCCGCCCCTACCACATCAGGAGAGCGAACTCTGGCTTCACTTCATGAGCGTGCAGCATGTCGCTAGTCGGATCGCGGCGCGGCACGCTGCCCACAGCTCGGGGCTCTGCCTCCCTGGAACCTGTTGGCCTTGGTCTCAGGCAACGTCACAGTAATTCGCGAACATTTATTCTGAGCCGAGGCCACCAGGTTGCAGGAGCGTCGCGTGATTGTGGGGATGCCCCTGTTGCACCGCAACATGCATCGTAAGCGTCCCCAGCTGCCTGCCATGGACTGAGGGGAGGGTGCTGTCCAGTCGTGAGTTTTCGCTGTGTGCGTGGCTTTTTGGAAAATTTTGGGTTCTATTGGATGGTCTCAGTCTTTTTGACAATTCACTGCTGTAAACGTGCTATTCCAAGTGCCCACACATTTTGCTGGGGGATGAAATTTATCAGGTGAACCCAAAACATTTCTCATCACCATTGCACTGTTCATCTTGCAAACATATTGTGGGCGGCAGCGAATGCCCTTCCGATTAGGGAGCTCGTCAACACTGGAAGCAAAATCCGAACGCCTCAGTCTTCAGTCATTATCTTAACGATGCATCTGTTTGCATCTAATATTGGATTACTTGTGGTCAACGCGCGGCACAGGGGGGGGGGGGGGGGGGGGGAGGCTACACGTCGTGGCTACAGGGAGGCTACACTCCAGCTACACTACAATCCACAACCTACGCTTGTGAATTCGTGTCTGTCTGAAATTCCCATATTTTGATTATTTCTTTGGCGTGGCAGAACCGGATTTCTGCGGTGCAATGACGGTGGGAACTATCTGAAACGATCATAAAACACCGCGCTATGTAAAAAGCACACAAGAAAGGGGTGCCACCTCGTCGCCGTTGCAGTGACGTGGTGTTCCACCCGAGAATGAGCTTGAGGGTTTAACCGGTTCCCTAGCACTGGTATGCTCGGGCAGGTGACTGCTGTAGAAACTGAGGCTGGCGCAGGCAGCATGCAAAATGCCGGCTTTCCGGCGGCAACGCCGCAGTTGTCTCGCTGGAAACCACCGGACGGCAGGGCGGCTCACACGGGGCACGAAGCTACGTCACTGCAGTGCAGAGGTGCGTCAGAATGGGTGTTCCCAAAGACGTCTGGCAGCTATTGTCTGAAGAGAGCATACCCAGGCATGACGCTGTAACTGAGCAACGCCACTTCGCCGCCACTTCTAAAAGCTCAGCACTTGCCAAACCGCCTTTTCCAAATCATCATGAGTCCGTGTGCCAAGCATGCAGATTTTTGTATCTGTACTTAAGCTTATGACGTCAGGCCACCATTCAAACCTTCAAAAAATAAATTCTACGCTGCTGGCATCGTCAGCGCGCCAAAGCCTGACAGTTAGTAGGATTTTTCAAAACCTGCGTTCATTGATGAAGAACGCACATCCAATTTATCACAATCATTAACTTGATCGAGGCCATGCCATTAATCACCTTGACTTTTGAAAACAAACGCATCAACTGCATCGGGTCATTGCGCAAATGTCCGAACTTTACAACCACCAGACTTCTCGCAGCATTTTTTCGCAGATCGCTAACTCGACCTTCTATTACCCGGAAACCCGGAAACCTCAGCATTGCCGTGCTGTACGCGCCGTTCCAAGTTTCTTTTTATGTGTTTACAGATTTGGCCTTAAGCACGCGCTGGTTTATCCGTACCGGTTTCTCAGAGCACGCGCTGAGTCATCTGCACCGACTTCCCAGAGCCCCACCCCTGGCCTTTATTCAGCCCGGCCTTTGACCTTTGCCCAACTGCTCACTTGCGAAATGTTTTCAATTTCCACCCTCTTCAAATCACACTAAAAAGCTAAGTTGCCATCCAAGTTAAATTGTTGCAGGGGAATATAGCGGAGCATTTTATACACATTTTTCATACCTTGATCACGTTGGAAAGCTGTGATGCACCAAAACCTTTTGACTGATTACGGCACCAACAATCATGGACATAAAGCGGCAATACAAAAATGAAGTAAGCAAATCGCTTTCAAAATGTCGGCAACATTTGACCCAACGTAAGTGCCCAAGGCTTGCCAGTTTATAACGCACGTGTGCGGTCGGTTCAACAGAAGGGCGTATCAGAAAAAAACGAAACGCTATGCGCAATACCATTAAAACAGAGCTTCCTACGTTTGCAGTACGAGTGTCCCTTTTGCAGACTTTCTGGTCGGGGGAAGCTGAGCCGCACCCTTAACGCCCGCCCTTGTTCACCGCTTTTCATAACCCGGAGTAATAGGCGGGCGGGGGGGGGGGGGGGGGGGGCGATGTGACCCCTCAGACGTTTCCCAACTAGTGGGTACAAAGCTTAGCGTAAAACAACATTGATTTTTGATAAACGAGATCCCGAGATCGGCACGAACCAACCTGAACCAGGAGCCAGGCCCATTGGCGGCTAAAGAACCAACGGAAACCAGGATCCAGAGTTTGGCTTTGTTGAAGGAACCATTGGGAACCGAGATCCAGGATTTAAATTTGTTGAAAAAAACAGGGAGAACCAGGACCCAGGATTCTGGTTCATGGAAAAACAGCACGAACCAGGATTCAGGTTTGTATTTTGTCGAAAGAATTAGTGAGAATTAGGATCTGGCGTCTGTTTTGCCGAAAGAACCGATGAAAACCAAGATCCAGAATCTTGATTTTTTTAAAGAACGGGCAGGAACCAGGGTCCAGGTCTTTATTTTGTTGAAAGAACCAGTGAGAGCCATGATCCAGGATTTTGTTTCGTCAACTGAACCTGTGGAAAACAAACTGGGAACAAAGCATATGTCTATCCCACCCCGACCCGCTTACACACCCAGCGCGTATTTAACGAATTTATCAAGCAAACATTGGTTATATTGTCAATAGTAGAGTTATCAAACTGTACTTATGATCACGAATGGATCGCTAACGCTAGTGGTCATAACCACAGGTGAACGTCGATATTTGTTTGACAACGTCGTCTAACCAGTATATACTGGTGCGCCGGAGGTCAAACACCGTCAGCGTATGCATTCTGCACTCATCATGGCAAAAAGCCATGTTAAGGCCTTTCTTGTTTATATTTAACTGCGAGAACAGATATCACATATTTTCCACTGGGTTCAAAGAATTAGTAAGCTTTATCTTCAAAAGCTTACCCCCAGGTCGCCAGCTGACCCATGCTTCTGTATGGTCATGCCTGCCCTACCAGTTGCGTAGCCTCAGAATACGAGTAAGCTGACTTTTAAAGCGAATGGTCCACGTTTGTGCGCGGCGTGCACGCTTCGTAGACTCAAACGGGCATCCATGGCTAAAAACATCAGCATCTTACGTGCAGACCGGTCAAGAATAGCATTGTACTGATCCCAGCCTGCAAGACGGATCATCAGCCGGGTCGCCCGATCCGTGACTCTCCACCCGCAGCGCCGGGCCGGAGCCCGAGCCCAAGCCGTCATCAGCCGGGTCGCCCAATCCGTGACCCCCCACCCGCAGCGTCGGGCCGGAGCCCGAGCCCAAGCCGTCATCAGCCGGGTCAATCGATCCGTGACTCCCCACCCGCAGCGCACCGGCCCGTGCACCCGAGCCCAAGCCGTCATCAGCCGGGTCGCCCGACTCGTGACCCCCCACCCGCAGCGCCGGGCCGGAGCCCGAGCCCAAGCCGTCATCACCCGGGTCACTCGATCCGTGACTCTCCACCCGCAGCGCACCCGACCGTGCACCCGAGCCCAAGCCGTCATCAGCCGGGTCACCCGATCCGTGACCCGCCACCCGCAGCGCCGGGCCGGAGCCCGAGCCCACGCCGTCATCAGCCGGGTCGCCCGATCCGTGACTCCCCACCCGCAGCGCCTGGCCGGAGCCCGAGCCCCAGCCGTCTCTGCAGCGGAAACCCCGTCGGATCAGCGCGGCTCTGGGGCGCCGGGGCAATCCACGCCCGCGGGCACGCGGCTCAGCTGGCTGGTCCCCTATAAAGCCACCAACCGTCGCCAGTGCGCCAACACAGCGAACGCGTACCTGCAGCCGCCAGCGCGGCGCCACACGAGCGCGCGTCAGGTCGGGACGGTGGGACCCTGCGGGACCGGGACGTGTTAGACGGCACTCGGGTCACATCAGGACCACTGTCGGCTCACCATGAGAATCACCCTCCTTTGCACGGTAAGCAACGCGAGACAAAGGCGAGATGCAGCGGCTGCGCGACTAACGTCGCGGTAGCGCTCCTACAGTGGCGCGCTGCTTTGCTTATCAAGATGCCTTTTTCTGAGCCCGTGGTTGCACGTCATGCGAAGCTCCTCTAGCTAAGCTCACAATGGCTGGCGTCCGCTTAGCATGCCGCTATTTAAGCAATGCAAATGTGAATTTTTGTTGAAGTGCTCAAGCACGATGCTATAAGGTGCTAATTTGATCCAATTAACACCCAAAGCGGTGATATCAGCGACACAACACACACACACACACACACACACACACACCACACACACACACACACACACCACACACACACACACACCACACACATATATATATATATATATATTATATATAGATATAGATATAGATATAGATAGATATAAGATATAGATAAGATATAGATAAATATAGATGAATATAGAGAGAGAGAGAGAGAGAGAGAGAGAGAGAGAGAGAGAGAGAGAGAGATATATATATATATAATTATATTATATATATATATTATATATATATATATATATATATATATATATATATATATATATATATATCTATCTATCTATCTATCTATCTATCTATCTATCTATCTATCTATCTATCTATCTATCTATCTATCTATCTATCTATCTATCTATCTATCTATCTATCTATCTATCTATCTATCTATCTATATATCTATATATCTATATATCTATATCTATCTATCTATCTATCTATATATCTATATCTATCTATCTATCTATGTATCTATATCTATATATATCACCATACTCGTATGTTATATGCAGACATACATCTATACAGGTTATCTTGCATGTATTTAGCTCCCAATCGTCGCCACCTGATGTTTGATCTTTGAACACCCACCCGGGTACTTGGCTGAAAAGGACCGTGACCTTCGGGACAAATAATATCAATCAAGTTCAAACTCTTTTAAACTCGCGATTGCCGTGCAAAGTGGCGAATGGCGATAGACTTACTCACGCAACGGGCTTTATCCGTCATATCTTTTCTAAGCAAAGGTCATTTGGGCTCAATTATAGTCAATGGCGTAATGTGATGGTGAGATATGACCATCATATTAAAAACGTTCGCGGTCATTGGGAAAATTGCTGTTAAAATCGGTGCACAAAACTATCCTAGATAACGGGGTCCTCAAAGCAATGGTTGATCGAGGTCAGCTTGGGTCAATGACCCCTTGTGATCCTCACGAAGTGAAAATAAGAAGCACGTCGACGTCTTTGTTATCGAGGAACTGGAACATGGCGTCACAGTTAACAACTCAAGCAAGTTTGCAGTTAAAAAGCTAGGTCATTCTAACCTCTGAAAGCGTTTTTCCTGAATTTGGCCAAACACGTGAAACAAGTACGTAACCTTTGCTACCAGCTTTGACCACTTGAAGGCAATACGACCTAAACATCAATGGCACGTATCAGGTAGCCATGGAAGCGTACGGGTGAATCCAGAAATCACCTTCATTCCTTTGACCTGCCATGACACATCACAGGCAACATGCGTTAATGCCCATTAATGCCTGTCTGACCGAGTTTGTCAGCTAGTAAATTCTGTCTTCTGCACTGTCGTTACAACGTTTACTTCTTAAGACAACCAGAGGGGTCTATAAAGTGCTAATTTGATTACGATAGCCTGATTTCAATCCTTTAAGATTACCTTCACCATTGTTTAGCCCCCACTCAGACTTAGTTTTCTCGCAATTTTTACAGCAATTCTAATTTACGCACGGCGGGACTTCCGCATGCAAGAATAAACAAAACAAAACCTACGCAAACCATCTGCATCTACCCTGCGAGAAAGTCGATGCAAAAAGCTTCAGACCTGCCACGTCGTTCAAGGATAGTTGCAGTGTCTATCACTTTATCCGCACAAACACTTCGCAGGCATGTCAGGGATAAGGCGAACCGCTCATCGCGAAACATCTAAACTAGTCCAAGTTCCTCAAACAAAGGTTTCCGAAGGCAAACGCAATCATGCTGAAGTTGAAGTTGAAGCGATTCCTATATTGCAGCACCTCTAAAATCAACGCGCATGCAGTCCCAAGAACTAACCCTCAGTGTTGTCCAAAGCGTTCGCCGTCTCCGTCTCCAGTTCTGCACAAATCGTGATAAATAATCTAATATTTGCGCTGCAGTTTCTTCAAGAAAGCTCAGCTCCGAAACGGCCGCCGCGTCGAAAGGAAACGCCCGCCGTCAGCCGGACAGTGAAGATTAAGGGGACTGTTACACATTGCTATGGAGTTTTGAAATGGAATGACCATTTTGAGGATCATTCGGTACAGCTCACAGCCCCGCCCTCCTCAGACCTAAACCCTTCCAGTTTCTGAGCCACACGCCCGCGAAAATGTGCGGACTGTTTCGTGCAGACCATATCAAGGTCGCGCGGGTATCCACGACGCCATTATAACGTCATTCAAACTCTGTCATTCCGTCGGTCATGCGGCGATCGAGGCTACTGCAAAGATAATTGTCGAGTCATTCATATCTAGCGTCTGTGAGCACGATTTCCAGAGATAACAGTCATCAACTGACTCTCAATCCATGTCGTGCAAGGTACAATGACGCCATCAGACGAGGGGATAACAATGGCTTTGTCTAGAGCAGTCTTTTCAACTTAAAAGTATGCTAGTAGTTATAAATGAGCTCATTTCAGCATATCTGATGCTAAGATAAGACAGTGGTATTAGCCCCATTCCTGGAAAAAGACAGGAGAAAGGATATATCGTTAGGTTGATATTTCAGCAACGTGCCTTTCTCGAAAAAATAGCAGAAGTGGATTCAAAATTGCCTGCCTATGATCCTACTCGATTTCTCAGGTTCAAAAAAAGCCACAGTTTTTACAGGATACCAACATTCAGGGGGTTAGACAAAGAGCGGTTGCCATTTATTGCCAAGATACAGTGCCTATCTAAGAATAAGAGTGCCCGAACATACGTGTACATCCAAACGAATTTTAAAAAATGGGCTTCACTCACCGCGGTTCATTCGAACATGCAAGCGAGTTGAGATAAACAGGCATCACACATCGCTCACCACTTATACATACAAACGATTTCAATTGAACAGGCATCGCACATCACGCGTCAGGCTATTACACATGCTAACGATTTTAAGCTAGCACACATCACACATAGGGGCACATATCACGTTCGCATAATTGGCCATGATGAGCCCTGTATGTTAATATTTGGTGGCTTGGGAGCAAAATGACCATTGCAGTCGACGCGCCCAAAAACACAAATAAACGACAAAAGATTTGGTTGCCGACTTTCTATAAGAAAACATTCACTTATTTTCCTGTTTGGGTGGTCCTGTGCTCTGTAGACAACTTTGAGCTCTTAAAGGGGCATAGGGCCCCTACTTCCCTCGATTTCAGCCTCAGCGTGTTTTGCCAAAAAATGGTCACCAAGAGGAGTATCCCTGTTTTGTTTTTAGGGTCTCGCAGGTGTTCATTAGATATCAAACGAATAAGGCGCATGGACTCCCCGACATAGACTATGTCCCTTCCATGTTTTTCACACAGCTTACACTTGATTTCGTAAACCACGTTTTTGGCGTGCAAACCCCTTGAAACCCGGAACTGCATAGATGACATCTGTTGCCACCCGGACACTTAAACTTCGAGATGAAAGATTTCACCAGAGACTTTTTAAGCTCATTGTTTTTTCCAAGCTAAGCGTACGCGCAGTCTTGATTTTTCAACAATGTATTTGATTTTCCGAAGCAAACGCTCATTTAGGTTTGGTAGCGTTAAGAATCCGTCTTCCGATAGGAAGTATTCCCGCCTCCTGCCACCCGTGCCCCTCCCCGCGCTGTAGACTTTTTACTTCTTCCAACATTCTACCTAAAAGTTGCAAAGAACATCCGTTGCCATTGCCAAGTGTCATTCATTTCTCAATAAATGAATCTAATGCAACCACACAGCTGTGCTGAACTGGCATTATTGTTGGATGGCCCATTTCATGGTCGTCACACATCTGTGGATAAAGGCTATCATTGCATATGTAGAATGTTCAAATGCCAATCAGACAACAATCTCAGTATTCATATATTCAAAACAAACAAAATCCTTAGGTCCAACATAAATATACCTGAGCACACCATGACCAATCACTTTGCATGCAGCACTCCACGAACACTCAACAGCCGGTAGCTCAGGTCACAATATTCATAACCGGCTCGTTGTGCAGTAACTGGATCACTACAAGATCAGTTTTTATGCAGAATGTTTAAATGAGTCATTTCATGCAAACTGAGACACAATGTGACTTGGCAAACAACGATATACATGCGATCAGCTTAGAGGCATCTGAAATTACTTGAACACAATCTGATCCTTCAACCACTATTCCCACTACCGCACTGCACTTTAAGCGTTTTGCGACTGAGAAACATGATTGCAACTAATCGTCGCAAGCAAACCAAAGATGCCTTTAGCACAGCACTGCCAACTTTTGGTACAGCATACTAAATATGGTGTTTATCCCGATTCTGGCATACTTATAGCATGCGTTGACACCTACTAGTCAAAACTTTGGAGTGGCCAGTGTTCTATTGCCCTGCTTCAAGCCAGAGAACGTCATCGACTCAAGCCGCTTGCATGCATCAATTTGGTTTGTTTACAAACTATCATCACAATATATAGCTGTGTACCAAATGCGAGGTTTTCATGTGTAAAAAATCTTCATCTTCTCTCACCTTCTTCATCATCTTTGCTCTACGCCGCGAAGATGCACTGGCCGACGTCCTCGTGTGGTGCTGCGGAGCCGAACTCAGCAATCCTTCAAGTCACAGCTGTAAACAACACGTAGCAGACGGTGAAGTGCGCCTCTCGGCTGCTGCTGGAAAACCCGTTTGGCTAGCGCATACATTACGGGCGCCTCGGTGTGACCCTGGCCCGGCACCGCGCCACGCTGCAGGCTCACAGCTGACTGGCGACATTTTAGAGGCCCGCCAGGCGAACGTGGTGCCTGTTCTCACCTTGACGGACCGGAGGAATGGGTTGCGGATAAAAATCCGTATAAAAGTGCGGATGACATTTGTTCGTAAGCTTAAGTACCTGCGCGTGATGTTCGTCAGGATAAAGAGCGCAAGGTATTAGGGAGAAGTTGGTAGTGACAAAAGGACGTACGTGTAAAAATTGTATGGTGTAATGCCCATCAGGAAAAAGTTCGTAACGAAAATGTCCGTACGCTTAAAAACTCGCATGGAGACTGTCGTAAGCTTGTATATTGTAAGTGCTGGTACTCAAATGTTCGGGCACGAATCTAATCGAGGATAATGTGCGTTTCATGAGAGAACGTAAGAAAATGTTGATAGTTCGATGTCTGATGTCGGCCCAAAATTGTATGTGAAATTGTTCGCCAGAGATCAAATTTGTTTGACCATAGTCCGTACGCAAAACTTTGCATACATCTGTGTATTGAGCGTTGAAATGCAAACATCTACCTCGTATTCATCATGTTAAAGGGAATGTTCAGCATTTGAAGATCTTGAAGCAAGCATCAGGTAGCATGCAGCATGCTCACTTATAACTATTAGTACACCTTTAAGTAGAAAAATGCTCTGGACAGCACAATGTCTTAATTTACTTGTTGAAAAATTGATTAAATAGCACAGTTTCTTTTTTCAAATGGTTGGACTATATCATCGTGCCTTGCACAACATTGATCGAGGGTCAATTGACGGCAGTTATATGTAGAGATTGTGCTCACGAACGCCATATATGAACCCGTTGACAGTTTTGTTTGCCCGGGCCACCGCATGGCTAGTGAGATGACCGTGTTTAAGTGACGTTATGGTGGTGTCATGGATGTCTGAGTGCCCTTAAAGTAGTCTCCCTGAAATAGTCTGCACATTTTCGAGGGCGTGTAGCTCAGAAACTTGAAGGGTTTAGGTATTAAAAATGGCAGGTCTGTGGACACTCTCTTTAAGAACGGACACTCCCTTTAAGAACATCGCCATAACCGAGCATGGGATTTTAAGCAAATTTCTTCAAATCACGTTTGGATAGACAAGAATACCACGAGAAAGGGCAAAAGCGCGAGCACATAATGAACAGCTCGCTCAGCAGCCACATCCAAAACCGCCATAGACATAACTCGTCGAGTTGAAGTACTACATGTGAGTGCTAGGGCGGCAATTTAGCATGGCCAGTTTGACATCATCCTAAGTTCATGCCAACGTTTAATGATAATAAAGCAGTTACGTATTGAGGAACATATTTACTACAAAGATAAATGCTCTGGTCTGCGGTAGTCTTGTCCACTAAAATGTATACCAAAAGATACAAGTGAGGTTATTTCATCATATGTTGTGATTGCTTTAATATCTTCAAATATGGAACATCCTCCTAGATTTTAACATAATGTTCTACATTTGACGATGTTAGGGGCAAGCGTCATATGTATGAAATAACTCGCTCGTAACTATTGGTGTGCTTTTACGTCATTGGATGTTTTTGCGCGTTCAGAGTCGCTTCCAGACTGGCTGTGTCAGAACTGCCGTTGTGGAGGACGGACGGACTTCTTGCTTAAACTTCTGGTAGTACTTCAACTTGTTAAGCAGTGGCTTGTTAACTGGTGCGTGTTTGCCGAACCCCAATTTGGTTGTATGCGTGTGTTTTGGCCCGCTTTGTGGTGTTCTTGCATATTTTCTGTGCTTTTATGCTTTTTCATTCGCATTCATATGCTCCATTCCGGCGCTATTCTTCAGTTATTTGATCCTCAGTCGCATTTCTGGCATAACTAGTAGAGGCTTCCAAATTGTCATGTTATGTTCAAAAAATGTGATTTGTGTTCGAAATTTGCACGCAACGCGTCTTGTTGAAGACCAACTTGATCTTGTTGAAGACCAACTGTCGTACGTTGATGTCGCGGATCGTGCTGACGTACGCCAGTCAAAAATCATGGCCACTTGCGAAGCGGAGCTTGCGTGCCGTTTCTATGGCGTGATGAATGTATGGATGACCTTCAAGTAAGCTCCGCGAAATGTCTGCACAAATTCGCGTGCGTCAAAATAAGAAATGAGGGAGTTTAAAGTTAAATGAGGGCATGACTCTGAGTTGCATTGAACTATATTCAACGTCCCTACCTCAGTTGAAAACCCCATGCCAATGTAGATCAGCCCCTTTGAAAGGGGCATGACTGTAAACGTCAGGAAAAAAGCATTAAAAATGGCTATTTCAGCTCAAAACCCAATACTTTACCTTCCAGTTGATATTAAACTTCAACAAGAGATGCATTTCAACTGTTCTGATAAATGAACTACACCAGTTATATATTTATTTTTAATTATAAACGGTAAGTGTATCTGTGGAAATGAATTGAGCGGTTGATTTTTAAACTCTCTGGTTGGATGTTTTCTATAAATTACCGGACGAGTTAATGTGTGGGGACTGACTGCTACGTAGCTGGACGGCTACCGGTCAAACATCCTATTAGACCGCACCAATGCCGGCTTTCTATGTCATCTCTTGTCGTCAAATGACCTATTGTTACCCCATTAGGCATTAAAATGATGCCACAACATGTTTTTGATGAAGTTGTCGAACGCTGCGTCCAAAATTACAACATATAGCTACAGAATTGGAGTTCAGCATGTGTTTTGCAGAAGACACCCAAAAAGAAAGATCATGGCCAAGGTCAAGGTCATGCATTATGTGGCCATATAATGGTTTGCATTTAAGATAGTGCTCTTTTCCTCATGTACCAACACCAAACCCGCACAAAAATGTGTTCAAATTCGCATAAATTACGAAAAGTATTAGGAATTGACTTGACTCTAGATCGGTGACCTCGTCTGTTGCGAAGAATCTAAAAATACAAGCTGTGGGATCTGTCATATTCTTTTACTTTAGCCAGTTTGAACAGTGGCAAATATTTTGAGTCCGGTCGAAAGCCTCAAGGTTAGATTATTGCATTGACCAGTGCGGCTTCCCTTTCTCGCTCTGCTACGTCTCAGCTACATAGGAACTAAACAGTTCAATAACGCCTCTTTGGAGTGTATTTCCTTTCAGAAATGAGCTTTAGTGTTTACTTTTGAGCAAACCATCTCCGGCATTACCCCTAAAATGGTAAAAGACTGGAAACCAAACGTATCAGGCAATGTCCATCCTCAAAACATATCTAAAAGTGACGTAAACTCCGCTGTTGAAAATACCTGCACCACGCTCAAAGCAGTTTCGAACTTATTGCGGAGAACATTAGGAACAGACTCTGTCCTACATCCCCCCTCTCCCTCGTAAACTAGGTAGTCTCCGTGACAACTGTAAGCCGATTGCTATCGGTGAAAATGGGGTTTTGTTTGAGTGAGGGTGGTTTAGACAGCCGCTTGACCTCCAGACCCACACTCCACAGGAATTATTTGTAATTAAGGCCTTAACGGCCCACTAGCCGCTTGTAAACATAGGCCGCACTTATTTGTTTTCGCCACTCCTACTTCAGCGTTGACATTGTACCCACGTTCTTCCAAAATTTCTAACGGCCTTAACTGCTCGGAGCTTCTTCTCCACCCCTTGGCGTGGATGTCAGCTAGTGTTCCAAGCTTGTCAGAATGACGTCTTTGTCGTCATGGCATCAACGTGCATCGCCTGCAGACCTCGAGCCTATGTGGAAAAAGAAAAGCTCACAGTTACGAACCATGGCATGATTCACGCGGTTCACTTGCTATTCCTGGTCCCAGACCTGTGCTAACCACCGATGCTATTCACCTAATCTAAATGCTTCAACTTTGGTTCCACCACATCTCTTCGAAATACTTCCCTTTCCCACAGTAACACAGCCCCCGAGACTCCGCTTTGCGCCATGTGCAAACCGCCGGGCGCCAGTCTGACCTGACCCGAACTGACCCCGTTGCAGGTCCTGCTGCTCTCGGCGCTGTGCTCGGACGGAGTTCGGGCCGCCGGCTGCAACTGTCTGCCGACCTCACAGTGCCCGCAGGCGCGGGCCGCCGGCGCGGACTCGTGCCGGGTGTTCGGCATCATACGCGGCTACTGCTGCCCGCGGACTGGAGGCACTGGCACGGGCACGAGCGGCGGTCTGAGGGGCAACTGCCGGCCACTCGTGCTGTGCCCAGCGGCGCTGGCCGACACAGCTAGCACCAGCGGCCAGAGGTGCCAGCTGGGCGACGGCTCGACCGGCGTCACGTGCAAGAATATCGGCATCAACTTACAACAGTTCTCGCTCGGGAACCGGTTTGGTGCTGAGGGGGCCGCTGCAAGGCCTCTTTCCAGTGGACAGACGGTCACCCAGGCACTCAGGGTTGTCAGCGGCGGCGACGTGCAAGAGGCGGCCAGGGAAGCCACGCGCGACGTCCAAAACCAGCTACAGCAGGGCGGCCAGTCGGCGTCCAGGGACTCCGCAGTGGGAGTCTTCAACCTCAACTTCCGTTCCAGTCAGGCAGTGCAGGAACTCGGCCTGCGGGGCCTACAAAACCAGCTGGCGCTTCAAGCTCTCAACAGGCAGAGTGGCGGAGACACGGTGGAACTCGTCTCCAGGTTCGGGGAAGGACAGGCCGCTGCCAGCGCGTTTCCGGCGCAGCCCACACTCCTTCCCAACTGCACTGTAGCAGAGCCCATGTTCTGCCAGAGCCGTATCTACCGCACAGTGAACGGAGAATGTAACAACCTCCTGCGTCCGCGCGAAGGCAGTGCGCTGACTGGCTTTAAGCGGCTGCTCGAGAGCACGTTCGATGATGGCTTCGCATCCCTCCGCTCGCGGAGCGTGACAGGCCGGCCGCTGCCGAGTCCACGACTCATCAGCGAGCGCGTGGTGGAGACCATTTCGAGCGAACTCAATGGCTTCACCCTGTCCGTGATGCAGTGGGGCCAGTTCATCGACCATGACTTCAACCACGCGCTTGTCTTCAACCTAGGCGCCGCTGGCAGCATCGAGTGCTGCGAGGATGGCGGCCGCACGCTGCCGGGGACGCCCTTGCACCCGCAGTGCATCCCCATCTCCATCCCGGCCGACGACCCGTTCTACAGCCAGTTCGGCCAGCGCTGCATGAGTCTGGTGCGCTCGCTGCCGGCACCGTCCCTGGACTGCATCGCACGCCCTTCTACGCCCATCAATGAGCTCACCTCACACCTGGACGCTTCCAACCTGTACGGCAGCGAGCAGGAGGAACAGGACGGACTGCGTACCTTCAGTAACGGCCTGTTGATCACCTCCAACAACAACCTGTTGCCACTGTCCAGCACGCCGACCCGCCAGCGCACCACCCCGCGACCCACCGTCGGCCCCGGCACCGGCCCTCTGTACTTCCAACGCGGGAAGCGTTCAGCGCGCCAACGTCGACAGGCCGCGGAGGAGGATCCGTGCGTGAACGGCGCCAGCGTTTGCTTCCGTGGCGGTGAGTCGCGCGTCAACGAGCAGAGCGCACTAACCGTCATGCACACCATCTTCACACGCGAGCACAACCGCGTGGCAGGCGCACTGAAGCAGAACCACCGCGACTGGGACGACGAGAAGCTGTTCCAGGAGGCGCGGCGGATCGTGATCGCCGAGTGGCAGCACATCATCTACAACGAATGGCTGCCGATCATTGTCGGGTTCGACTATGCCCGGAATCACAACCTGCTACCGTTAACGTCCGGCTTCTCCACCTCCTACGACATAAACGTGGACCCCAGCGCCTCCAACGAGTTTGCCACCGCCGCCTTCCGCTTCGGTCACTCAATGCTGCGCGACATGTATCATCTGATCAACGCCAACGGCGATATCGTCCAATCGATTAACCTCACCAGGACGTTCTTCAATCCGACTGTGGTGGGACAGAGATTCGTCGAGCACGCGCGGACTCTGGTGGCCACGCGACCCGAGACATTCGACGCCAACATCATTAGCAGTGTCCATGAACAGCTGTTCACGACCAACTTTCGGTTTGGGTTGGACTTGATCGCGCTCAACATCCAGCGTGGACGTGATCACGCAATCCCCACGTACGTGACCGTGCTGAAGGCCTGCAGGGGCGACACCGTTTCCAGCTGGGGCGACCTCAACCGCCTTATGGACTCCAGGGCCATCGACCAGCTGCGCTCCCTCTACGATGACCCACAAGATGTGGACCTCTTCATCGGCGGTCTGGCTGAACGGCGAGCCGCTGGTGCTCAAGTGGGGCCCACCTTCCAGTGCTTGATCGGGCAGCAGTTCTTCGACGTGCGTTTCGGAGACCGCTTCTTCTACGACAACGGCGGCTTTCCGCACAGTTTTACAGCCGCGCAGCTGGCGGAGATCAGGAAGAGCAGCTGGGCGCGCATGATGTGCGACACGCTTGGTCCCGAGTTCGGAAACGACTTCACGCAAGTGCAGCCGCTGGCGTTTGTGGAGTCCACTGTGGGCGCGAACGGCGTGGGCTCCTGCAACTCGCAGGCCATTCCCAGTATGAACCTAGCAGTGTTCTAGGGGAAAGCCGGCTGGAGGGGCCTTGATCCACCTTCTCTTCGGTCCCGAAACTTTTCCGCACGATCGCGCATACACCAGCTTCAATCGTTCGCGCAAGGCCGTCCACCAGAATCCGTGACGCAAGCAGGCGACTGATGAGGTCATCGGTGGCCTTCACAGCATGATTCATCAGAAGCAAAATGTGCATTTTTATAGTCTTTTTAACAGCATGACCGCAACCTAAGTGGTGATATTGAGCCTTTGATGTGTGCCTAGACACGAAAATAAATGTGTTTTTAGATGCGTACCACAGCTAACTCACGAATCGTGTTCAGCTCAAGTTTGCTCAAAACCTTAAATGAATGAAACGCCGTGCCCTGAGACCTAACAGCGGTTAACACATGGAGGAGGTGTTCGCACCCATCCAGACTCAGAACTTATTTCAGACTTGTGACCCACATTCATTTGGAACTTAATATGATACGAATCGGGTCATTTTGCTGATCAAAGGAAACGAGACCCGTTCTCCGGTGCAATAATTATCGTTTGGACTTTTGTCTTCGTTTGGCGTGTTATTACGTGCGTAATGTTTTTGGCCAATTAATTATCTGGCCGTTCACGCGTGTTTTGAGCACTGGTATGAATAAGGTAATCGGCTTTGAAAAGAACGCCACGCAATCAGCCATAAGCGCTTCCTGCTGCGTCTTTCGCAACAGTTTGGCAAACGGTTTCCGTACAGTCCCATACAGTACACAGTCCTGCAGTATACAGTTCTGTATAGTATACCTTATTACCAGGAGATGCACACTCAATGGGCCAGGGAGCTCCGTATGTAGGGAGAGCCGGCTCCAGAGCAGCCCTCGCACTCCACCGGGTCGGCGGCAGAGACACAGGTACGGGCGCCGGCCGTGGCGCCGCCAGTCCCGTCCTCTGCAGCACCAGGCTGCGCGACAATAGCGGCCTTCACCCCACCGAGCACTGTAGGCATACATCTCGGACATTTGTATTTTCCACATCGCCCGTCCAGGGTCGGCGGAGCTTCCCGGCACGGCGCGGGGCAGAAAGAACGCCGGCCGTGGCCAGCCACTCGTCCACCGAACAAACAAGGCCATTTGGGACGAGCGGAGCCTGTGCAGTCAATGCAGATACGCGAAAGCCTGCGCATGCTCGCCCGTAGCAGCAGGAAGGCGCCGAGTGGTGAACCGATCTGCGGGATAACAGCAGGAAGGCGCCGGGTGGTGGACCGATCTGCGGGATGTAAGCGGCGCGTGAGAGCTGACCCGGCGTGGCAAGCGGCGATCCCGCATAACCACAAGGCAGCGGTGTATCTTCCTGTTTCGGACCGCCACTTCCAAAGGCCACCGGCCAGCCAAACAAAACTGATGGACATGCGGCACCCGATCTGCGATGCGAGACAAAAACAACACGGCTGCCTCACTCCTCCAGATCCCCGCCGCGTCGGCACCCAACGGGACCTGCGTAAGAGGGGACGCGCAGGACCCACGCATGGCAAGGCGGGAAGAGAGCGGGCGGGCATTGCAGCACCGCGGGCGACCGTAATGCCCAATTCTTGGCCGCGGGGCACGTCTGGGGCCGAGCCCTCTAGCCAGGGCAGACCGATCCACTAAGGCATTAGACGAAGGGAATATTCCGGCCAAGAAACTGGGCCAGGCGGTAACGAGGACGGGCCGACGCAGTTTCGAGAAATTGTGAAGAGGTAAAACATGGCGAGGAGCTCTGAAGGGGAGCTGGAGAGAGGAGTCTCGGAGGGGAGTCCCGGGAAGTCTCTGGAAAGAGTCCCCCAGGAAAAAAGTGAAGAGTGTCAGGCGTCAGGAGCCGACAGCCGTGCATCAAAAACAGGGCGGCCCTGACGCTGATCACCTAGCGACGATATCCAGCTGCACGAGCAATCCAACGCCGGCGACAACACGCACGTTGTGAGTTACAGGCTGTCTTTTCCTATCCAAAACGGACTATGGACAGCTGTACGCTCCAAAGATGTCCCTGCTCACCGGGCGGGCGCGGGCCACGGCAACCTCGCCCTCGTGTGTAAAGCCCTGTTCACGCCGGCTCAGTTATGATTACGGACCACCACAACACCAAAATATATTTGCAAATATCTCTGCGCAAATTTCTCCAGATGAAGTTAAAGTATGGTACCCTCCGAACCATCTGGCCTCTTCCGTAACGACTCCGCAAAGTTACGGAGTAAGTTGGGAATTCCCAACCATTGACCGAATACGGGCGGGGTTGTGGCTTTGGACGTGGGAAGAAAAACAGTATCTATGTGGTTTGTTGCGGGAGCTATGGACGAGGGCGATTTGTTCCTCCTGGCTATGTGGAAACGGAAGGGAAGCATAGAAGAACGTGAGTACGACAGTCATTGTTAAGACGCGGGATGGAGAGAGCGTTTGCGTTCGTGGCGAGGGAATGGGAGGATCCGAAAACCTTCTATGGTACGCACTGTGTGCTTCCAAAAAGGTTTGATGAGCTACTGGAAGCAGTCTTTTTTGCCGGCCATTTCAAGAACGGACACTAGTTTGGAATGCAACCATGAACGGCGTGGAATAAAGGTAAGTCAATACAAATGTATTACAAACACTGCCTGCTTCGTTAGGCATACTTCGGTTTTGACCTGATTTTATGAGAAATAACAGAACGGTAAAACGGCACAGGTTGGTACAAGTAGCGTGAAAGCCCAGGGTCAACTGCATGCCATTGTCCGACAGGTATTCAGCGCTCTTACTTCGCAGGAAACTGATCAAGACGATGCCCTTCACGTTTCAGCTGCTTGTCCAAAACCATGAAACGAACATAAGAATATTTATTGGTAGAAATGATAGGGTTCCCGGTCATTCACACAAGTGTTTTTCAACGTAAAGCATGTTCACGGCGCGTCTGCGACTTACGGCGCGCAGCCAGACGTGAATTTCCCCGGTTCTCACCGTGAGATCCAGGGGCTGGGATGATGAACCACGTTCTTGCAACTCCCAACCCAATGATTCGGATATTGTCCGATAGAGGGCTATCGTAGTCCACTCCGGCCCTCCATGCCAACGAATGGCGTCGTGCGGCACAGCGCTGCCAGACTAAACCACCGTGCATGCACATTGACAAAGTGTTGTTTATGCGCGCAAACTTGACCGCATCAGCACGCCCTCGACATCAGATGTATTAAACAATTCGAAGCTTTAATCCCTTGTTCGTGGCATCGAAGAAATATAGTTACTCGCCAGTAGCTGCAAGGTGGTCGTGGAAGGCACCTGTCGAGATACCTGCTATTTGGTATTGCGGGCTACGGTAAGATTCTCCGCGGTATTTGGCTCCGTTATTTACTGTATGTGTTGGTTATGTTTCTCATTTTCTAAAGGAACTGATGTCTGATGTGTGCGACTGACTTATTTGATGACTGCTTCAGGTAGGCGCACGTGCCGATCTCCAGCTCCTGGCAGATGTACTTTCAGCGATTTTATTTGGCTGCTTGTCCTCCCGCCCGCATTGAAAATTCTTTCACACGCTGCTGCAAACAGGACTTTTCCGAATTTCGATCTTTACTCTGAAGGGGTTCTGTCACATCAGTTGAATCCAAAAACTACTCTCCTGGTTAGATGCGCTCAATGGCCCATTCTGCGAACAATATGTTTCTTCAACCAAATACGTTTAAAACGTGAGCGTAGTTTCGCTAAACAGGCTTTTTGACTGAGCCGATAAGAAAACAACGAAAAGTATCCTAATTTTATGCCAACAAGGTTTCTCTTCGAATTTGGCTCATTTTCTCTGTCAAATATGCAGGTTGGAGCACAAGTTACGGCGGGATGGATTCTCTGCAACTGAATGAAAAAGTGCACTCCTAGCTGCATGTAAGCAGGAAGTAAAAAAGCCAATGTTAACTGCAAATGTGTTTAACTGCCTGCTAAGCGTCGTGCAAAACACTGCGCACGTTCCGCGCCTAGAGGTACAGTTGATTCAACATCTCAACAGCGGAGCCGAGCGTATGTCACTGAGCTGGTTTGCAATATGTAAGCTGGCTGAGTGGGAGAATCGTGAGCCTGCACTCGCCATCCACTTCACAGATCTTGGCATGCTTCCTTCCTTTTACGCTTCAGAATCTCCCTCGTATGGAACTTGGAGGTCAGCAACACCAGCTTGGAGTTAATCGGGACGAGCGCAGGACGCGCCGCAGAGGGGCGCTGGTGGCATAGTGGTTAGTGGTTAGGGTGCTCATCTCTGGACTTTTCGATCCTGGGATGGGGCTCCGGCTGCACCACTATCGCACCCAACATACCTGATGCCTGACGAATTACGTAACAGAGGCGTTCCGCCTCGATGTGGCCCAGGCAGCCGGTGGAAAGTAAAGCCCCAAACAGCATTACAGCTCGTCCGACACACAAACCACCGCCCGCCAAATTCGCAGGCAACGCTCCCGCTCACTCGGTGTAAATATGTGGGAAAGATAATCTGCAATCGGTTGGACACGGAGTTCGGACACACGGGTGAGCCCAGAGGCTGTCCAGCCAGACGATCCGACCGGCAGCTGCAACCGCGGCGGACCGGCGGACGAGGCAGCCCGGCCGCAAGATGGACGCGGCCACGCGCGCGCGCGCATTCTCCCACCCGAGAACGGAGCCCTGCCACACGCGCGCGGGGCCTGTCCGTGGGGCGGCCGGTCTGCGGCCGAAACACCGCCAACTTAGTCGGGCACGCCACCGTGTTCGCGTCGGAGCCGGACGCCCCTGACTCGGTTCCGCTCGGTTCGCCGCGATGCACATCCCGGCGGACCGGACATCCGGACATCTCAGACATCTAGGCATCTCTCCTCCGGTCCTCCCCCCCCCCCCTTCCCCCTCTTCCTTCTAAACGTGTGCGTTAATGGAAGGCGGCCTCGTGTCAGTCAGGGGGCTAGTATCAGAGAGGGTCCCTCCGCCCGCTTTATCTGGGGCGAAAATACGTCGAACTGGGGTGCCTGTACCATTTATTAAACCCCGCTACGCCTGGGACGTTTTTGCGTCGATGAGTGGCCCTGCGTCGATCAAAGGTCGAGCGTGGCGGTTAGATGGCTTTTTACATCGGAGACGGGACCAATGCATCATGTGCATCAATAGTAACCGATAGGCAATCAGAAAGAGGACGGGAAGGCCCTTAAATCCCAACTGGGAAATGCATTCGGTCCCAAGTTTTGGCTGAAGACTCTATTGTGGTCTGGCTGTTGAAGGGGGCGCGGGGGGGGGAGAAAGGTGAGGGGTCCAGGAGCCCGCTGGGGGAGTTCTTTTCAAAATCGCGTAGCATAAAAACGACCATACTGAAC